TGTTGAGGTGTTTTAATGTTGAGGTGTTTCAATGTTGAGGTCCGTGATCTCTGCAAAAAACTACCAAAACTTTAATCCATTCTTCTGTAGGGAAAAAAGACAATTTTTTTTTCGACAGTGTGATGAGAGCGTAATATTATCATTCGGGCTTAGGCTTAAGCTAAGGCTTTTAACGCATATCTATTAAACAAACAGATGGTTCCCCTGTATGAACTTCAACTTGAGCTTGAGTCCAAATGTAAACTATGGCGAGATTCCGCTCCGATTATTCCCAATTGTAAGGCCAAGTCTGAGTTCAGTAAAATGCACTTAAGCGAGTTTAACGTGTAATCGAACATTCACCAGCTCGATTCGTCTGCATTTCAAAGTTGCAGAAGTTGTACCTCGAGAGACTCCCAGTGAGAGCAGTTTTTGTATTTCAATAGGCTTCCAAAAAAAATTTGGATAAGACTTTTCTCGAGTCGAACGTACTTGGCTCAGCATGTTTTTGATCCTTACGTCGAAACTGGACAGAAAACTTAGGCTTACAAGAAGCGTTAAGGAATTGCAATACGAATTTGGTAGTTCATCTGCAATTCGTTCTTTTTCGCTATCAAAGTCATTGAGCAAATTCGCTTCGAACACTCATTTCACTATTGAAAACTCAAGCTAAATGCTAGCGGAGGCCCGTTCTCGTGAGCAAGGGCAATGAGTGAATAGGTGAGCAGTGGTGGTAAATAAGCGATAAGCCGACAGGTTGGAAATTTGCAAGAAAACTGAGCATGTCACATAAGGGTAGGATTCATTCCCACTCTCATTCCTCAAATTGGTACAGAAAACAACAATATTATTTTCCTCGAACAAGTCATGCCTAAGGTCAGACTGAGGCATGGCTCCACACTCAGTCTAAGATTTTTCAGGACTAGGGCGAGGGCTTAGCACGGAACATAGGCTAAGATCCACAACTGGATCTGAGTCGAAGTGAATGCTGAGATTCATGATTAGGGAAGGGGGGGGGGGGGCTCAGGATGAGCTTGGCCTCTGGCTCAAGCTCAGACCTACCCTGCTTAGGCTCAATTTCATCCCTGTTGGGTCTTACACCAACGTCTTCCAAATCTTATTCACATATTCTTATCGTTTCTAATTTGAAATTAAAATTTAGATTCATAAAAGTGACATACATACTTTATGCCTGAAAATAAGAAGTAATTGTATAATTGGATTGTATAATCGATATTACGCAGTTGCAGCAAAACAAGTAATGCAATAATAAACTTTATTATTAACAAAACATAATTTTTATCATAAATCTCATTTTTAAAATGCGTAAAACTGGCATCAACAATGTACACTTGAAGTACGTTTCAAAGACTCGCCAAACAATCAGATCAGTCAAGACCTGAGTTTGGGGCGAGATGGGCATCATTAGACAGTGTTACACACTGCATCATTTCAATTTTCATTCACAACCATAATTACACAACCATCGCAACAAACAGTTCAGTCACCGTCCTCCATTTAAAACCATTCTTCGAACATTACACGTGATAATCAGCGTCTTATGTATTCCCATACATATATCAACCAATTATATTTTTTTGAATTCATATAACGTCAAAATAATCGTGCTTAAGAATGTATGATAATAAAAGAAGTTATTTAAAAAAATGAATTAAACGACGGTGAAAACTGTCTGGCGATCACACAGTAGTTATGGGTCCAATAGCCAACTCGTCAGTAAAGACTCATTTGGAAGATTTCTCTTTCGATCACAAAAAATTTGATCCGCTTTCATTCACTACGCATAAAAAGGTGATGTGAAAATGAAAGAGAAGATACCCGCAAACAATGGCAAAAGAATATTTATAGTTCGAAAAAGCCTACAAAACAACGAGTTGGTTAGTTGTGAAATGTATCTTTGAGATACGAAATTCGTAAAATTCACATCAAATAGACTGGTCCTCTCAAAAAGACACTAATGGTATCACTGCCGCAATCAGCAAAATCCCCGAAATATCACATGATCCTACATAATCGTTGATCGTTTATTCCTTCATGTCCTACCTTAACAATTCACATGTTGCTGAGTCGAAAAGAAATACAGCCATTTTTGGATGCTATACATACCAACGAATGAACGATCTGTTTAGAACAAAATTTTGTTATTTTTACAAGTAGTAATAAAACTGATGACACAACAACAACATTATTAAGAACAACGATAAAACAATCTTACTGTAAATGAAATTGAACACGAATAGAGCTGGGAGCAACGGAGTGGATGAGAAAAGGCCGTAACGGAGATGTATGAAAGAAGCCGCATCAGCAAGAAATGTTAAAATGAAAAGCACTCACTCGGAATACATGCATGTATAAACCGGATATTTATGAACAGACAAATACAATTACTGAACTGGAACAGAAGATCACGCACAATTCACTTTACGGAAAAATATCAATTGCATTTAATTCATTCCATTTTGCTCTATTTAATTAACAAACATCACTAATGGATTCATTCGAGTGCCTGTCATTGCGTCACATAACGAATGAAATCCAACCCAGCTAAAGTGTTAGGCAGTGACCGTCTGAATTATCAATTTAAATGATTAGATTTGACAATCATCTTCCGAATGCGACTCGAAATTCGAACTTCAACCGGTAGCGTATGCATAATACAACATGTAAAAGTGACCGATCTTTGTCAGTGATCAGTTCCTAAACAATTCCTAACCAGTTCAGTTCGTGTACAACACTGAACTGCGTCGCACTTCAGCGACACACGTCAAATAATTCTAGTTTTATCTAAGAAATTTTCGTTTTATAACAGTTTTCGTGCAAAAAAATACCGGTTATTAACAGGACTCGTAAAATGACGTAGCTATGATTGGAACCGAGTTAAAGGAACGAAGCGACTAAACCCGCATAATCCAATTAACTGAGATTGCTGAAACTCATTTCGGATACCACTGGACTTCAGCACTGCATTCAGTGCTCATAGCTGCATGCACTAAATTATTCTCATTCCTTACGTTACTTCTCGAACCAATAACGTTTATGACCTCATTCAAGCTTAAATAGATTCACAAGATGTCTCCAATTAATGATCAAGTAACATTTTTCGTTCAACTTGGTAATCAGATGCCTCGATGAGAACAAAATATTAACACACTTACTGAACTCATTCCTGTCTCATCATCCAATTATAGCCCAAATCAAATCCTTATGACATATGTCTTGTCACGTTGATACAACGTTTCTTCTGCTTTCAGCAGCATCTCAACTAACAACTGATAAGAAGTCTACCGCACGAACGCAGTTAAAACGAGAGGAATCACCGCAATGACAGTTGAACTAAGTAGGAGTGGACATATGAAATTGGATTTGTCAACAAGTAACGGTATGAAATGACACATATCCTCTACCTGAGCTTATTAGTTGAGATAGTGCTAAATAAGAGCAGAATATACGTTGAAAGCAAAGTTATACACGATGGACAGGATGAGAATCTTAGAGAGAAGATGAAAATTTGTATCGTTTAAGGAATATAGATCGAAATTATTCCACAAATATGCGCCATTCGTTTTGACGCGAATATTGTATCTCTGTTAAATGTTACAGTTCTGCATTCTAGAGAACGACTTGAGGCTAGTAATCAACGTTGCACACACTGAAGCGGTTCACTGTCGAAAGTCGTTGACGGAAGAAGTTATTCGGAAACCAGCTGAGAATATATTGAGAAAGAAGAAAGGCTTAGGTAAGATTACAAATCGACTTAAGGCAGCTTCATAAGCTGTTTCATTTATGAAAGATTTGAGACGAGCATATGACCAACTATAATATTACATACAGACAATATGAACACAATAGTATCAAACTTATTATCCATAAGGAAAACGTTTAGAGTCGGCGCTTAACATAAAACGCGACGACAAGAGAATCAACAACACTGAGAGAAAGGATCTTAGGGCCAAGCGCTCGTTGTGAACGATTCGAAAGACGTTGGTCCCGCAACGAAATAAAGGCAATGCATAAGTAAAGCGATTATTCGACTACAGTACACGTCAGCTCCACGCTTAAGAAAATTTAAAACAATAAACATCTCATCAGGGGCAATCAACTTCACAACTGTACGATGCTGATTCTTGGGCAAGTCAAATAAAAGCTCTTGTATGGGTTGCTAATTTCAACACAAATAAGCAACAGTGAAAAGAACATATCAGTGCGAAACTTCAGTGGGCTACGAAAGAAAATAACTTATACATCTAAACAAGAAAGGACGTTTTTGAAAGGATGATTAGAATGAGATGAATAAAAACGAATATATTCGCCAACTAATTAGAATCAGAAATAACTTCGACAGAAAGCAACAATATATTTGTATTGAAAAAACAGCAAACAAATGAAAAGATATTGAATCAGCATCGCATTACAATATGTCGTTGTACGGTTGGCATAACGCAAGGAATGTGAAATAGAAAGAGAGAAAAGCACCCTTGTTCTGCCCCAAAAGAATCTTAACGTAGAGCTGCTGCCTATTTGCAACAAATTCCTCTATTTATAGTTGAGCATTGGATTTTGAAACTGTTGTTCTTGTACGCTGGAGGCTGTTGAAGTTTGCTGAGTGTAACACTGAATTTTTTCTAACGGTGTTATCATATTGAAACTAAAAATAAATCAATTATCATGGATAACTAGAACAAAGTGTTGTACTTTATAATATCACAGATGTTATACCTCAGGACCTTTTAGTGGCTAAACAAAGAAATACCCTGTTGGGTTGTCGTTAGGAAGAACGTACCCTGTTGGTCTGGGCGCTTCTGATTTGAAGGCAGGATTGTCGAAAGGGAAATATGATCGCGACGTGCCTAGCGTACGTCCAAAGGCAGCCATATTGAGGCGAAACGCCGACGGATCATTAACCATCATTTGATTGGCAGCAGCGGCTGATGCGCTCGGATATGTGCAGTTCGTTGATGAACTATTCGCGGTCTGGTTAGCAGCCGATAACACTGATGCCTGAATGCCTGCTGCATTGAAGTGAGCTGAAAGATTCGAAATCATTCATTTACAATAAATCTGCAAGTTTTCATAACTTTGAAAAATCAATGCATTCGGACTGTGTCAATGAAGATAGAAAGTTTTGCTCAACTAAAATTTGTATGAACAGATTGGAGTACACTCTGAGCAGTGAATTAACTGCTAGGCATGCATGTAAAATAAATTGAGTCCCTCAAAAAATTCGCTAACAAAATACAATAAACGGTTTTGCACTGTGAGTATAGTCTACATTAACTGATAATAGCAAAAACAAAACAACTGATAGTGGGGCTGTACTCTTCAAAGCAGCAATAAAAGTTGTAACGAAAAGTATTTTGTTAGAAAATGGCATTCGTAAGAGAATGAAGAATGAGCAATTTGATATTGATATGAGATAAAAATACAACGTATAGACAGACAGACAAGTCTCTGATAACAGACATTTGTATTATGATTACTGACGATGTTAAAGCGAATGATTTAAAAGAAGGCGCGTCTTAACGAGATATTATTCCGTGATTCTTTGTTCAGATTCGATTGTTTTGGTGTCGAGATTCGTTATATGTGGACACTTTATTGATCGCAAAAACAGTTGATAATAATTTCAGACGAAAAACGAACGTAAAAGCGGAATGAATAAAGAGATGGATGTGATAAGAAATAGACCTTGCATGATAAGTTGTGATTTAACGGGTAGAAAAGAGAATTCTTGTTCAACTGGAAACTGAACGCGACAGAAAACGCTTCACGGATATTTTGACGAATAACAAAAATGTTTCGACTGTTCTGCGACGGCAGCCCGTTTGTTAGGGTTACCATTACTACTAGTTGTTCACGATAACTTTTCACACATGATGTGGATCATATTTTAAACATACTGTTCGTTATTGAATAAGCTGATGCAAAATATGTTCCGCTCAAATGGAAAACAAAAGAAAAAATCATTTACTGACTTTTCACCAATCAAATATTGAAGCAATCATAATACTATGGTATACTTCTAACAACAACTAAATATTTCTGATCTTTTGACATACACCTTTGCAACATCAACAGTCTCATATAAAGTCAACTAGATATACGATTCAACAATTGTATACACATGGAATTTTAGAATTTTGATCAAAATATAAAAAACCTTGCTGAACTGCACAAAATCACGTAAACAATAGACGATGGTGACTGGAACGAAGCATAAAACAAACAAGAAACTGACTAAAATCAATCTGTGGCTGTGTGACTGAAGTGAGATCGGGAATACCATGTGCTGTCATAGTTGGTGCTGAAGATGTATCGTTACGCCATGCGTTCAAACCTTCGAGTCCCTCGACGAAGTTACTTCTGCAATCTTACATCATCACAACATAAAAATGAATCATGAACTGATCGTGCAAGCAACCATCAACCTGCACGAACCATTCTTAAAAATGACAATTAATTACAAGTAAACACAAAGAAAAACCGGCAACAAGCCTTCGACAGAAACTGTCTTGATGAGAACAATTTTCAAATCATCTTTTATTCATGGCCGGAAACCTTTTTTAGCTAAAAATGATATTGCAATATTTCAAATCTATTCCTTTCTTTAAAGTTAAAATGATACTGGATTCTTCGAAATAAGATTTACTCCAAAAAATATCTTTTAAGATGAAAACGATAATAATCAAAATTTGTTTTACAGAATTAATTAATCAAAATTTTTGACAACTTTAATGGAGAGCGGTAAGTTCGCAACACTCAAATCAATGCTATTTTCACTTTGTTGCCACTTTCTTTTGTAAAATTCAAGGCACTTGTTTACTTTGAGTGGAAGCACGCTCGCGCTTACTAGGGTTTGCACAGGATCCCGGGATTACAGTTCTGATCCCAATCCCGGGATTTAAGTTTTGAAAAATCCCGGAATTTCGGGATTTGATAAAACTGGTCAATTTGTGTGAATTTTGATAGTATGCCCATCTTGAAGCAAGCCTTAATTAATCCCATCTAGTTTATGTGCAGTTATCTCTGCTGCTGCCCTCTATCATTGATGTTCAGCTAAGGAAATAGACGCAATTCGGACAAATGAAATGATCAACGACAGCTCGATAAACTTTTACGTAACATTTCATTGAATATTCAACTGATATTCCGCTCTTCATTGGTTTATATTACGCTCATCTGGATGCATTTCTATATAATAGACTGACTGAGATAATCACATTTTCTAATAAAAACCAAGAGCAACAAAGTTCAACGAAATTTTGAGTCGTTTCCTCCCACAAGATTTGTTCGGCTTCAATATTCCATCTGTTAATTCAACTGCATGTTCTAAACACCGCAAGTCTTTTTACTTCGTTATTTGGGAACGTTTTCATCCGATCGAAGTATATTTAATTCTCACTGAGTTCACCCATGGTGAGAATTCATTGCCAAAGTGAGCAAAGTTGTTCCATTCAAAAGGATCTTAAGCTTGAATATCAAGTACATTTGCATGCTCTGTGTCGAAATTATCAAACATGTAAGTGCTCGATGGTTCGATGAAAATCCATCGCGGATATTTTTTTCCTTTTTAGATAAACTTCGAACTTTTCATTATTTCAAAATTCAAATGATATAATTCATGCGGTGCATTTCTTCCATGAAAAATCGAAATTTTCGAAGCGCAGAATTCAGCTGACGTTAATACTGAGAGAAAATGGACTTGAAGAATTGCAAATAAGTGTTTGAGAATCAAGAATTTCGATATCACATGCAAGTGTACTGTTATTAGCTTAGACCCGAGAAGACAAGATGCCTTAGCATAGAAATGCAGTTTGCCCTTGCGGCATGATCATTAGCAACATTATATGAAATATTAATTTGAATTTGAATAATTTGGTTCCTCGAATTTGTTCAATAATTTGTTGAATTAACTCCTTTCTGATTGATAATGAACATATTGGTTCGAAAAAAATGTGTTTAAACATGTTACGCATCGATATTTCAATAATTGGTCGATTCCGGTATTATCCCGGGATTTGAAAATCGTTGGGATTTTGCAAACCCTAGCTCTTACTATGAGATACACCCTTCGTAGTCAGCGTTTTCGTTGAAATATTATATTCATGTGAGGTATTCACCATACTGACTTGTCCAACGAAAATTATTGCCCATTCAGTATGGACTGTGGGCTTGCCGGTGGCGAGCCGCCGGGTCGCACCAAGTTTTGCCAGACCGACCGAAATCCTGCAAATTCTTGGTCCGACTTGTGCTCCCCTCCCCCCTCAAAGGAAACAAGTGCCAGATTCGATGGTAATATATCTAATCATGAATAATTTTTATGAAGTGCACATGTATAACTAACATATTCCGCCTATCAGCGTGCTTCGTCATATGCTTTGCTAAATAAGTTTGCTGTGTATATGATTTACCACAATAAGCACAAATATGTACCTGAAAATCAATACCATAAAAAAAATACTTTCTCAACTTAATCTTCCTTCAGATATGCTCATTTTGTGATCTCGTTAACTTTTCACTAGACTTTTGCATAAGAATGATTTTGGAAGCTGCGCTTGACAAACATAAGTGGGTAAGGAGCTGGACTTTGTGATCGCTCCAAACCTATTTCGACTCCTATCACACTACAATGTTAACGATTATACGCTCAAAAACAACGTCCAAAAAATGAGAGTTCCGCAACAGAAAACCGGATCAACTGAGTTCAGTGAGGCAAAGGAGTGAACTAAAACGAGAATCAATCAAACATCTTTTTTGAGTATCGGAAAGAATAACGAAGAAAGGTAAATATTCTCATACAATCAACCGAATAAATTCCATACGAGACAGAATTTCTCTTTGTTCTCTCCGAAATGGAAATTTTATATTAAACGTTGACGACTATCTAATATGAACGGTTTTTTGGAATGAGGTTTCGAGAAAGCATTGTGGGTTTCGTAACAATGAATGAATTCGATGAGCAATGTGCGGAAAAAATAAACGAGATTCTGCCTAACAAGACTACGAACCGAGCAATTAGCAGAAACGAAACCTTTAAATGCTTTGATTCTTTGTGCTTGGGAATATGTTCCAGAAGTGCTTGCTCATCGGTGAAACATTTGTAGCAACTGAAATCTTATCGAATGGTGATATGCATCGTGATCAAGTGTGACAACATAACTTTACAATTGTTCAAACAGCTATCGTCAAAACTTTCGGAGATTAAGTTCAACTGAATTTTTCCTTTCACGAAGCGTGACACATTTTTGAATCAGACAAGAACTATTAGTGACGTCTTCATAGAACGGACTGCATTATGTCAAGCATGCTTCATGGAACAATTAGTTTATGAGTTAACTAATAGCACGCGGCCGGTGATAAATCATTGATTTCATTCCGGACCTATGACAATAAACATATAAGAAATCAAACAATCCGCAATGAAAGGGCAGAAAATAGAAGCCGGCTCTCGGTCTAATTCAAAAAGCGGTCTACCGTCAGGTGATGGGCGTAGCTTGGCCCCAGATTCAAAATTCAGCTTCCTGGGGTCAATGGTTGACTTATGATTTAGCAGATTAGGCCGAGTTAGCGTCGTAGATGGAGGACAAACCAAATCTTTGTTGGGGAGGGGGGACAGGAGAGAGGCGGGAGAGAAAAATTAGACGTTCAATAGTGAACGAGTATATGGCAAGTTCAAATCCGGCTACACATCCATTTTACTGACAGTGAGAATGACGAAAAGGGTAATGGGATGAATGGAGCAGTCGAGGTGGAATCAAGTTATGAAATCGGAATCACTGTTTCGTTAATAATAATAACCTTTCAAACACCAACGTTATCACAAAAAGAAATTCGTACTTTTTGACAAAAAGATTTCCGTACAAAGTGAAAGAATAAACAAATCAGCAACAACATAAATAACTGAGAGGAATAAACATAGAAACTGAAGACAAAGTAAAATATAACCTATTGCATTTGAAAGGCTTATCGCTTTGATGACACCGAGAATGAGATTGTAAGTTTGACAGTTGACTAAATGCTTTTTCACAGCCTTGAAATTTGCATTTGTATGGTTTTTCACCCGTATGAGTGCGAATGTGCTGTTGGAGATGAGACAACTGTGTGAACTGAAAAGAAATATTGGAATGAATTGAGTTATGCATCGATTCCGAATTTTTGCTGAAAATTAATGGAATATTGAAGAAGACAATTGAAACTGATAAATAAAGTTTCTTTTTGATATTATATAATTCGTTATGTCACTGGAAACTATTCATTGCTCATAGTTCACCAGTATTTTGTGAAGAAAGTTCTTTAGCCAGTGGTATGTAATTTGTGGTCAATTTTTTGATGAGCAAAAACGACAGCATATGGGCGAACAAAACTTTCTAAGGGGCGAAATGAAAGTTTCCTGGTAGTACTTCCTAATCACTTACTAGAAATAATTAGCAGACTCGAGCAGAGAATTTCGACAGATTCCCTGATTCATACTAATAAACAAAACCAGCCGCAATTCAGATAGTTTCAATCAGCTCTCAACTGTAATCCATATAAACATGAACCAAATCTATCACTACTTTAATTTGTCAGATTCGTACTATCTTAATCGATTCCAGTGCATGTTGAAATACAACTAGAGTATAACCTTTTTGCCGCAATACTGGCATGGTCCAAATGGTTTAATACCGAGATGAATTCGCATATGTTGCGAGAGGTATGAACTGTTGGCAAATGATTTAATGCAATGAGTGCATTTATATGGCTTCGCCTCTCGCATGTGCATTTGGCTATGCACGTGATGAAGCTCAGGTTTTGAATCGAAGCCCTTAACGTAATGTTATCTTATTAGTACCAATAACAATTGCCACCATTATTCAACAATTCAAAAAAACTTAACAACCCAACAAATACGAAAACATGCATACACATAAGAAAGCAACAAACAATGTAAGAACGGTATACTGTAGTAGTGATGTTAACCGACCAAACTTCGGTTATTTTCTGATCAAATTATCCGTTTGAATTTCTTTTAGATTTTCGAAACTGCTAGGTCGGATTCCGACCAGACAATTTCGAAGTTCGGCCAGAACACCGAATTTTGGAAATTTAAATAGACGATACGGTCAGATTCCGATCAGAAAATTTGAATGTCAGAGGAATAGCGAATTTTGAAATGTTGAAAATTGTGTTCTATCGACTCCAAGGAAACAGTTTCTATTTCGCTCGGTTAACATCACTATACGTAGCAATCCAGATTGTTTAATGGAAACGTTCTCGAAAAAAAAAATTCCATCAAATAACTGCTTAGATTAAATTTTGGCAGTGTGTTAAATGAAGTTAAAGATAAGATGAACTGATCAGTTATCGTTCATGATAAAACTGATGATATATTGATTCAAGAATGATAATAATGATCGAACCACACTGGACCAGTGCAATCATTACGAACTGACTGATACTGTATCTAACTGAACGAAGTAAGAAATGAATAGAGTTCAAAAAAGTGTGATGATTTGTGCCACTCTTCAAAACCTCACTTGAATAAAATTCACTCCATAGTGAAATATGAATTGTCGGTGAAAGATGATTCGTGTTTGTGTTTAGAGCCACTTACTGTACAGAGTAGAACATTTCGAAAAACAATCAAAGAATTAGTAACGATTAAAATAAGAAAAAACGACAGCAATAATATTCGCGATGATGATATTAAATGATATTAAAATAGTAACAACAACAGTAATCAATAGCAAACAATGGTAACAGTGAACTGTTACTTATACTTGTGATATCAACAAATATTTTAAGAATTGTTACAAAATGTACAACACTCTCTCATAACCAAGCAACGGAAGTAGTCGTCATCTTACCGAACTGTGCGCAACAATAACCAAAAACACAACTATTGATACATGAAATGTTATGCTGACATGAAAGTGTGCGAATCTACACACTTGCTAATGGGCATATTATAAACCGAATAAACAAAACGTTTTTCCGAACAATGATGGACTTTTTGAAACCGATAATGGAAGTATTGCTATCAATAGTGAAACGTTCAATATAACAATTGTATTTCAACGATCAAAAAGTTGACGTCTATGTACAGTATGTGCAGTGCAAATGCCGAGGAACTTTCCTTAAGGTGATCTGATGTAAAAAAGTTCATTTCAATTTTCAAGCCTTTCTTTTGATCACTTTACTCCCCAAAGTGAAAGCCAAAATTCGCTTTAAGATATGAACGTTCAATGGTCCCTATGGCAACAACCCTCTACAGTAAATTGGAAAAAAATTACCAAAAATCTAGAAACGTTAAACAAATTCCACTTTACTCACTTAAATACGCAATAAATTTCGCACTCATTTTTACACCCTTTGAAAATCAAATTAAGATTATTTCAATTCATAATATGATGGAAATAGTCTACCCGAAAAAATGTTCAGACATAGTTCACAGGAGCTGTCAGCATTACTGAAGAACTGTATTCAGTGGATGTGAAAAAAAGATCCCAATTCCTGAAGAATGAACTACTGGAAGATTTGTTTCTTTCTGTTTCAGTCTCAGGACGATCACAGAAAACCCCTGGAAGGAGCTGCACTTGTCTAGTAAACAGCATACCTCGAAAATTTTCTCTTCTCCGACTCAGAGTACTACATCAGGGTAATGGATGGCGATGATGATTTACGAATTGAAGAGATGGTTGCTGAGGGACAAACTGAACCTGATCAAAACTGAAGTGAAACAGTGTAGTGAAAACCTTTACATTTTTGCCAGTCTGATTTGTTGTTCGTCAGGCCAATGCAGTTCTAACACTTGATCATCGCTCTTTCAATCTTTTCTGAAGGATGATCAAGTGAATGATAGCTGCTGAGAAACTCCAGAAATCATATTCAGTCAAACCCTCTAGTTTTCTTTTGAACACTTATGTTCTACTCTTTTGTTCAATCTCGAATACATTTCAGGTGTTGTTCCTAGGGACGTACATCGAAACAAAAGGAAACTGAGATAATGCAGGGATATCCAGCCTCTAAAATACCGGTCCTCACACTTTAGCGCTTCATGGCTCCATTTGGTAGTAGGACAGATGGTCACTGTTCCTTCAACAACCTGCGTCAACACCATTCCATCCCATCAACATACTTGCGAGAGACATATCAGACGGAAATCATTATATGAATTCAACAATCGAAAAATCTATCATCAAGACTTCGTCAGCAATATCAAACGAATCACATTGTTGTGATCTAGCAAGCATTTTAAAAACTTCATTGAACAAATATTAAAAAAAACGCGATCAAAAGTTAACTGCACTGGTTCGTTAGCCTCCTCGTTCAGTGTTGTTAGGTTACCACATAAACTTTACCGTACTTGAGGTTCAGCTATATTGAACGCGTTATGAATAAAGGATTCGAGGACGAGTGAAGTACTTGCAAATTATAGATTGCAAATACAGTATAAGTACATTTTGAAGTGTAATGTGCACACAAACTATATTTTAGAACCTCTAGTAAACATTACTTTTGAAATTCAGCAAAATTCCGA